TGTTAAAGGAGTTCTCACATTGCACTTCGATGAATGTCTACTTAAAAAATCTATGGCTATAGTAGGAGTACATCAATAATGCATAGTTAGTTTACTCTAAGAGCTAAGACATTTGAGAATCGAAGAAAAATTATGTGATCATAATCGAACAAGACTTATAACCAAGTTTGAGATCACACTCGTAATAAGTTGACATGATGACTGAATTGTATGGTAATCATGCTCGTGAAAGGTAATAATGGATTAATTAATCATCCTAGAGAATTCAATAGTCATGATGTCTTGCTAGATGCCTATCTTCTTTTATGTATCAAGAGATAAAAGATGAGTTTTTTCTTCTTAATACATTATCAACATATCTAGGAGTTTATTGAGTCACATGCATAAATTTAAGTATTTACATGATTAAAAAGAAGCAAAGACATTAGAAAATTTTTCAATTTTAAAAGTTTTCTATTTTGAAAAAGGTTTCCGAAATGAAAAGTTTCCTAAAATAAGTTTTCTAAAATGGAAAGTTTCTATTTTAGAAATCGGTTTCCTAATTTAGATGTTGGTTTCAAATTTGAAAGTAAATAACCTAAAATGGAAATGAGTTTTCTAATTTAGGTTAAATGACATTTTAAAAAATTGTTTCCTAACGTGGACTACCTAATATTATCTAAGATTATTTATTTAGATAGTCCAAATAATTTAATTGGGTCGAATGATTTTGGCCTAATAGGTTTAGTTAAAAGCTCGATAATATTTTGATGGGAGGATAAAAATCAACCTTATTAGATAAGGATAAGTATTTTAAAGATAAAGATAAAAAGGCCATATGTAAAATAACTCCTAATCCTAGGAGAATTAGGAAGCAACAACATATAGTCCTTAATGGACTCATTGTCGCCCCTCCTCGCCCTTAGAGGACAAGGAAGTCTTTCTTATAAATATATAGGGGAGAGAGGTATGACATAAGTAAGAAAATTAGAGGGAAGAAATTCGACAAAGAGAGAAAATCTCTTTAGGATACATGACAAAAAGCAAAATAAAAGGAGAAAATAGTTTTTTCCTAAAAACCCTAATACACGCCACTTTCCCTCTTTCTTTAAGGTTCACACAAACTTTCCCGAATAGATTTCTATAAAAAATACTACACAAATTAGAAAAGATAGAGCTAGCACTTTATAAATTTTGAGTGCTTTTTTATGAGTGCTTGGATTGCATGGATCAACAATAGAGGTCGGACACTTGGATGACTTTTCGCTAAAGAATTTAGACTCGGGCTACAAGAGGTAATTCTCTATTCATTGCTTTAATTCATGTACATATAGTTAGTTGATTCAATGGCATGATCTTGGGCCCTTTAGATGGAGGAAAATTTTTTGTTTATTCCACACCTCCATAGGATGTATGATCCTTCAAATTCTACATTTGGGTCATCAATTAAACTTAATATTTACCCAATCAAGTAGGCATTTAACCAATCAATTAACTTGATCTTGATCATACTCGAAGAATTTTCAAGCTTTCTCTCTCTTTCTCTTGGGTATTTGGGTCAATCCATCAAAATTTTCTTTTTTTCATTCAGCCATTTCTTTCTTTTTCTTCTTCTCCATCATTAAGACTCTTCTTCTTTTTTCTTGTTAACTCATGGCTTCTTCTCTCTTTCTTTCTTTCTTTTTCACAATTTCTCTATTCTCTTTCTTCTTTCTCTCTTACGAGTTCTCTCTCTTTTTTTCTTTCCCCAAGCCGAGTTTGATATTCCTTCTAATACTTAACCGACTTAACTTTCTTAAATCTTTCTCTGAAGTCTCTTTCACTTTCTTTTCTTCTTTTTATTTTGGTAATTGCTACCCCTTTTAGTAAGAAAATATCTACCCATCACTAGAATTTTCTTTTCCCCTTTTCTCTCCTTTTGCCGACTTATAAGTAGTTACTAACAAATTCTAATTGTCACATGCTAAATAACACTCCTAACTTAGGTATTATATTTAAATTATTTTATTGTATTTAAATCAAAGTGTCTTTAAATAATTTAATTAACCTTTCTCCTTTTATTTCCTTCAATGCTATCAATAAATCTTAATAAATATCATAACCCTTAATTATTAAATATTTATAGGCTTTAGACATTTTATAAAAAATTCACATTAATTCAATTAAGTACTCGAATTATTCACATTTATAACTTTTAATGATTAGACTTTTTAAATTAATCATTTAATAGCCCATTTACATTGCCTAATATTTATTCTTGCACAATGCTTAATTTTCATGCAAAAATAAATATTAATTTCATAAATTAATTTTATACATTAAATAAATATTCATACATTAAAATAAATTCATTCACTCATATATAAATATCTAATAAGGTAAAAAAAATTAAGGATACTACAAGGAAAATGAGGGAAATGGTGGCGGCGATGCTTAAGGATGGAGGATGAGAGAAAAAAATAAAGTAAGAAGAAGAGTCCGCAACTTTTAGGGATTTTTCTTAGCGATAGATGTAATTTGGTCGCTAAGAATAAGTGTCCGTCGTTGTTCAATTTTTGAAATTGCATAATTTTTCATCAATCGGTGATATAATTTTTTCATTAATAGTAAGTGTTTGTCATCTGTTTGAATTTTGAAATTGAGCCAATTTTCTCAACGATCGACGACAAATTTGTTTTCGTCACTAGTTTTTTTTTTCGATTAGATCATCTCCTCTAAAATTAGCGATGGATAAAATATTTGTCGTTAATATCCATTGCAACTTAGTTGGTATTTTGTTGTCGACTTAATCATAAAAATTTTATCGCTTAATTTAATGATGGATGTATTATGTCACCGATGTTCTATCGTTAAATAGACGACAACCTATTGTTATTAGTCCAAAACATATAGAGATTGATAACAACCATTACTTATTCACTAATCCATTGTTGTTTGCCGACTAATTACTTTCCATCATTGATTTTTGTTACAATTTGGCTTCCTTTTTTTTGTTGGTAGTGCGAGTATTTGGAGGCGAGTGGGCATACAAGTGTTTGAAGTAACAAGCCAAGCATGTTGATTTGTGCCCGAGTTGTTAAGAATGCCTCTGTGAGATTCTAAATATGTTGTTGTAGTTGAAGCACATCCACGAGTTAGGTGTTGTGACTAATGCAATTACGAGGGGTAACATATTTAGGGACTTTGTTTGTTTCGTCATGCATGAACCTATAGACAATGTGAAGAGTAAAATTGGAGATATGATAAATCGGCTAGTTTTTGTGCTTAAATTTCTACGGATGACGCTAGTCGATGAGTTGTCGGTTGACTCAACTATCAAATTTAAGATACGTAGTTTAAAATGATGATTGTCATGTGATTATAAAGCATGATGAAAGATCCTTTTGCACTATGTACTTGTAAAACAATCTCTTTGCAATGAGTAGATGACGATTGTCAAGTGATTATAAAGCATGATGAAAGATCCTTTTGCACTATGTGCTTTGTAAAACAATCTCTTTGCAATGAGTGTTGGTAGAATCTATATGAAGTTCTTATAGGATGTCTTCCTCTTGCCCCTTCCCTTTGCAAGAAGAGTTGATGTCTTTTGAAAATTCTAGGCTCGTTAAATGAGTTAATTCCTTTTGGTGTGGTATGTGTCTTGATTGAGCTCGAAATTTTTTATTCAACGACTCATAGATCATTCATTTCTATTGAATTGTACTGAAAAAAAAAAACTCTCCATCAAGATTATTTTCATAAATCTGGTCTCAAAGAAATTTAATATTAGTATGCACAAAAACCGGTACAAAAAAAAAAAAAAACCAATATTAGAGGAAAAAAAAAGGAAAAAAAGAAAAAAGAAAAAAGAAAAAGGCAATGCACTCTATACCATACCGACAACAAGCCCCAAGCGGCCCAAACTGAGTTGCCTTATAAAACCGTAACGGTACAAAATGCAATTATTGAAGAAAAAGAGGGCAGAGAAAAAGAAAACCCTTAAAACATAATGCAAGGCAACACAACAGCAAAGGCAACAAGAGCAGAAGCAGTAAAAACTAAAAAAGAAGTAGTCCTGTTTGTAATAAACGAACGGAAACACCACACCAAGCAGGTGGCTCCTCCTCCTTCTCTCTGCTTTTGGGATACATCGAACTCTTTCTCTTCCTCGGAGACCAGAATTAAAAGAGAGAGAGCCGTCTCTCAGTTTCCTATCTTTTTTTATTTATTTGTAACTTTCTAATAACAGCCCACAAAAAATAATACTAAACTCTGTGTAAAAATTTGTGCCTTTAGACTCACTCTTACTTAGACCAACCTTAACCTACACCCCCGCTCTCTGCTTATCATACGCCAGTCCTCATATAAGTCTATTGCATGACTTTGCTTTATTGGGTTTTTGTTTTCTTGAATGTGAGTATCAAAAGCCCTAATTTTTTACTTTTTTAATCTTGTCTTCTTGAGTTTCTTGTTTCTTTTTTCTTTCTGTGTCTCCAATTGCGTAAAAATCCCTAATTTTTGTTTTCTACTTCTATCTGGGTTTTTATGAGGTTTAGTGATTCTTCTGTGATTTTTTTTTATTAGGGTTTTTATTAAATGATCAGCTGGGGTTCAAGATTGTAGCTTTGCTTTATAAAGCAGTTTCTTGAATCATTTCTGACATAGTTAGGGTTTCAAATTATAGTTTTCAATGCAGTTATAATGATGCAAAAAACAGCTCTCTCTCTCTCTCTCTCTCTCTCTCTGTCTCTGTCTCTAATTTGTTACGCTTCTCATTCTATGTAGGCAAAGTGAAGTGGGCATTTCAGTAATGTGAAGTTGAACTTCAGTGCAATTCATGTCTCAATAAGCCCGCAACTCTATGTATTTGATCAATATTGGCTTTACTGTTACATTCCGGTTATACTTCTTTTAAAGTTCAGAACTTTAGGTAACGGCTTGCATTTGTGGTTTGGTTTTGATTGGTGCGGTGGTTGTGAATGTAAAATTTATTTACTTTTGTAGATACTCATATAGGAAAGAGAGATTTTCAATATATCCAGATGGCGTGGACAGAGAATGATGCTGGTAATTTGAGAGAGAAGGAACCGATTGAAGATAATGGTTTCTTGAAAGGATCACAGCCTTCACCGTGCCCTAGTGGCTCTCCTGTTGGTTCATCTCCAGCACAGAAGGGGTTTGAGGGAAAGGATGCTCTCTCTTATGCCAACATTCTTCGATCCAGAAATAAATTTGCTGATGCTCTTGCTCTCTATGAGAGTGTCCTGGAGAATGATAATGGAAATGTTGAGGCTTACATTGGTAAAGGAATATGCCTGCAGATGCAGAACATGGGAAAGCTTGCTTTTGATAGTTTTGCTGAAGCTATTAAGCTGGACCCAGAGAATGTGTGTGCCCTGACACATTGTGGTATATTGTACAAGGATGAGGGTCGCCTATTAGAGGCCGCTGAGGTAAGCTTAGGACAATTAATTCATGTTCATACACAAAAAACAATATCAGGAAATGAATTTGTGGTAATTAGAGGCCAGTTTGCACAGTAAACTTGTACTGTAATTTTATTTAAAGCTTGGATTTAATTTCTATACCATGCAAATTGTAAAATATAGCGGGTGCAGATCCTGCTTTGTTTTGGTGTTTAGCAATGCTTTACTAGTTTTCTTAGGCATAAAGGCTGGTTTAATTGTGCCTGTGGATCTTAATAATGGTGAAATTATTTCGTTAGTTGTCGCCATCTGCATATTAGATGCAACTAAAAATTGGATTGATGATTGCTGATACTAATAACTAGTTCCTATGCTCTTGGCATGATAAATTGGAATTGGGGGAATTTTAGTCAATATACTCATTGCTCAGCGTCCATTCATGTGCATGGACTCAGATGGATGCCTCTTCCTGCTTTTTGTTGAAAATAAAGGTAAAAGTAAATACTGTTCAATTAAAAAGAGAATTTAACTTATTGTTTTTACTATTCCAGTCTGTGATAGTAGCTTTTAGTACTTTTTTTGAGCTTCCTTATTTGCTCATATGGAAATGTTCTGGGTAGCTATGAAATTCTTGTCTATCAAAGTCAGCCTGAGAGCTGCTATGTATAAGGGTGTATTTACCACCTTTTGCCATAATATTTTATGAAAGCATTCTACTAGGTATTGGAACTATATCTTTGCTAATTATATGTGTGTTTATATATGAGTTGGTCATGCTTTGGGTAGTTTGGCTTTGTTACTATATATGATAAATTTGATTTATAAGAGTTTAGTGATTTTTTTCTTGTGTAGTCGTATCACAAGGCTCTGAAAGCTGATCCTTTATACAAGCCAGCTTCGGAGTGCCTAGCCATTGTTTTAACAGATCTTGGAACCAGCTTAAAGCTCTCGGGTAATACACAAGAGGGAATTCAGAAGTATTATGAAGCTCTTAAAGTAGATCCACACTATGCTGTAATATCACGTTTTCTCATTCCCACTCCCAAAATTCTGTGCTTCTATTTTTATTTTCAACTCTTCATAAATAAATAGTCATACTTCTTATGTGCAGCCTGCATATTATAACCTTGGTGTTGTGTATTCTGAAATGATGCAATATGACACTGCCCTTAGTTGCTATGAGAAGGCTGCAATGGAGAGGCCCATGTATGCTGAAGCGTATTGCAACATGGGTGTCATCTACAAAAACAGAGGTGACCTAGAATCAGCCATTGCCTGTTATGAGAGGTATGCCTGCCACTTATTTAACTTTGCAATTGGGCCCTTTATGTAACGTGTATATAGCTTCAGTGTTGCTCTGCCTCTGCTGATACTTGTTGCATAATTATATTTTTGTCTCAGGTGTTTAGCTGTGTCACCAAACTTCGAGATTGCAAAGAATAATATGGCAATAGCATTGACTGATTTAGGAACAAAAGTGGGTTTTTTCCACCCTTCATGTTTAATCTTATAATAGCTGTGAATCCACATTTGCAGAGTCTTTCCTTAGATTCTGTTTGTTTTACTTACTGTTGAATTGTGTTATTGAGGTGCTCAAGTAGCTTGTCTTTTCATGAAAACGTTTTGTAGAGTACCTTTTTTCTTGTACATGCTTGATTTTGGATTTAGTCATTTGTGTATTCAGGTTAAACTTGAGGGAGATATAAATCAAGGTGTGGCATATTACAAGAAGGCTTTATATTATAATTGGCACTATGCTGACGCTATGTATAATCTTGGTGTTGCTTATGGTGAGATGCTGAAGTTTGAGATGGTAAGTGGTCTTCTAAGAATTTTACCCTGTTCTTGACTACATATCCATCTGTACGTGTGCCAATTTATAGCAGCATGCAAACAAAGTTATATGTGTAGTTACACACAAGTTTTTACATAGTTTTATTTACTTTTTATTGCAGTAATTTTATCATTCATTGATTGAGTAAATCTCTTCTATTTGAGCAGGCAATTGTGTTCTATGAACTCGCTTTCCACTTCAATCCTCATTGTGCAGAGGCATGCAACAATTTAGGCGTAATATACAAAGACCGAGACAACCTTGATAAAGCTGTAGAGTGTTATCAGGCAAATTCTGATACCAGTACAAGTTTAAGTTTTCATTTTTCTGTGGTTGAAATAATATTCGTCATTGTTGTTGTTTTGCAGTTAGCTTTATCAATCAAACCAAACTTTTCGCAGTCATTGAACAACCTTGGTGTTGTCTACACTGTCCAGGTCTGAGATGAAATCATGCTTGATACACGTTTTTTTATATGATTATATATCCGGCATGTTGCTGACCAGATCCTTCCTGTTTCCAGGGTAAAATGGATGCTGCTGCGAGTATGATTGAGAAAGCTATCATGGCAAATCCCACATATGCTGAAGCATACAATAACTTAGGTCTCTATCTCTCTCTCTCTCACCACCACCCCAGGAAAAATGGGTTATACACTGCAAACTCTGACAAGTTTGCTTTTTAGATTTTTATTGATTCTAATCTTACATTTCACTTGTGTTTGTGACAATTTTCCTTTGTAAATTTTATTCCTGTTCTATATGGAAACAAACCCGTACCCAAGCTAGTGCCAATTTTGCTTCTGCTAAATGTCATTTATTTGTCCTATACATGTAGGAGTTCTTTACAGAGATGCTGGCAATATATCTATGGCTATCAGTGCTTACGAGCAATGCCTGGAGATAGATCTTGATTCTCGCAATGCAGGCCAGGTTCTGTTACTCTTTTGGTTACTCAAGTAAATGCTAAATGCTTGCTAAGTTCTGTCAGTTGTCGCAAACTGCTCCATTTAGCATTCTAATTATTCCAACAATTTTTATTCCCATGTTTGCACTTGAACATAACTTTTTTTTAAAAGCTGGCCCAATGACATGAATAAACAAGTGATTTTAAATATGGAAGGCTTTACTATAACATTGGATGGAAAAAAAGAATTGGACATTCTTTCTTAGAGGCAAAATGGGTGTGTGTGTGCGTGTGTGTGGGGTGGTTGGGGTGGGATGTCTGTGTGTTGATTTACAATGGGGTGTCTGTGTGTTGATTTATGGTTTATTCTTACATACAGATGCTTTGCATTTGTCTAGTGGCCTAACAGTTGAAGTTATGTCACATGTGCTCCTTTCCCTTTTTTCCCTCAATTTTTTTTTTTTTTCAAATTTAGGAATGGTAATTGGCTTCATAATGGGGGCCTGGGAGAGAGAGAGAGAGAGAGAGAGAGAGAGAGAGGGGGGGGGGGTGGGGGTTTGGTGGTCATGATTGTGAAAGACAGTTGTTCTTGGTTTTATTCTTTCACACATATTTTACGTTCTTCAAGTGGCCTAACAGTAGAATTTATGCCACACCTGCTACCTCGCCTTTTTTTTTTCTTTGAAAAAACTAGATGCAAATTATTTTAAACATGTTCAGATACCAAGATCAAACAGCTCATATATTCATTGTATGCCAAGCAAGCATTGTTGTCTGTTTGATGGGTGTCAGATCCTCTTTGTTGTATCATTGTTGTCTCTTATCTGTATTTATGAACTTTCTATGGCAGAATCGATTGCTTGCAATGAACTACATAAATGAGGGACATGATGATAAGCTTTTTGAGGCTCACAGGTAGGGTTCCAACTCCTATAGACTGGCCATTTTATTTTCATTGCAATTCTTGTAAGAATGTTCTAACGAGATCATTGCCTTTGTCTCCCAATGAAGCCATTTAATGTGGTGCTTGGTAAATATTTCATACGAGGGCATTTTATTTTCATTCAATTCTTTTAAGAATCTTCTAATGAGGTCGTTGCCTCCTTCTCCCATTGAAGCCATTTAATATGGTACTTCCTCTTGGAAAATATTTCATAAACTGATGATGAGGGTGGAAGAGTGCTAGCAAACACCATCATGATCTACAATGATTTGTTGTTAAAAAAAAAATTACACGAGTTGAAACGTTGAGGAAGAACTTTTTCAGCATTCAGTCTGAGAATGTTCTTTGTTGTAACTGTTTTCTACCCTCTGTTCATTGTAGATTTTGGGATTGAATGATATATCCTCATCATTAAGCTACTACAATTGTATTTCCATCAAAGACTGAACTTTTTTCTTTCTGGGTTTTCAAAATGAATTTTCTTCAACTGAAAGTTGTCATTTTCTTCATATTCTATGGCTCATGCTATTATTGTTTGCTTCTACATTCTGTTCATTGTAGATTTTGGGATTGAATGATGTATACTCATCATTAAGCTACGACAATTGTATTTCCATCAATTTTTTTACATCAAAAGACTGAACTTTATTCTTTCTGGGTTTTCAAAATGAATTTTCTTCAACCGAAAGTTGTCATTTTCTTCATACTTTATGGCACATGCTATTATTGTTTGCTCATTGCTGCTTATATGTATTTTGAATATGATAATCTCATGTTATGGTGTAAGTTCTTGACATTACTTAAGTGTCCCGATTTGATTAAACTTTGTAGCAATTAAAAGTTTCTAGATTGAGCTTGGTGAGCCTTATCTGAAGTGAATCACCTACATGCAGGGACTGGGGTAGGCGCTTTATGAGGTTGTATCCTCTTCACACTTCTTGGGACAACCCAAAAGTTCCAGAGAGACCTCTTGTGATTGGATATGTATCTCCAGATTATTTTACTCATTCTGTATCTTATTTCATCGAGGCCCCTCTTGTCTATCATGACTATGCAAATTACAAGGTGGTTGTCTATTCAGCGGTTGTGAAGGTATGCATACCATGGTTTGTTTCTGTTACTTGTGTGTTGATTTTGGAGTACACGCATATCTGTAATTTTATGGATGTTTTTTTTTTTTGTAAATATGTCTAATCAATGTTTTCATATGAAATTCACTTACATGTTTGCCTACGATCAGACCACTTGGTTTATTTTTTTAATAAAAAGATTCTGGTTTTTAATGCGATGGATGCTTAATCTGTAGGTATGAGTCTTGTTTAAAAGGTTAGAAGGAAATGGATTACATGGGTTTCCAATGGTAGATTATTTGAGACTTCCATAAAGTGTCAAATGTTGCTGTCTCCCTTCTGCCATTTATTACTTATCTCTGGTTCTTGACTTTGTTGCTCACCAATGAAGCATTCAATTATTTAGTGGTTTATTCTAGATTTCACATTTAAGAACATGCTTATGCCATACGTGCTCCATTGCCAGTGCTGGTTGTTAACTTTGATTCTAGGGTTCAGTTTCTTGGTCATCAACTGTCACTTTTGCTGCTGTTGTTACTGCAATTGTTTGCACGTCCTATATGTACCAGTGCTGCTTGGCAGTATTGCCAACCATTAGGCACTATTTTCACTTGCAATTTGCGACTGGGTAAGTCCACAATCTATGGCATCCACACAACAAACAACTCTTTCCAGCTCTGTGATGCTAATCACTGCCCTGATTCTATGCTAGTCTATATCACTCAATTAGAGCATTCTGTAGTATGCTTACAAATACTGCAAGACATTCATGAGCTACGTTGATGATAATCTGGATTTACTATTTTTACGCTTGCAGCCTGATGCCAAAACAAATAGGTTTAGGGAGAAAGTCTTAAAAAGGGTGGGATGTGGAGGGATATATACGGGATTGACGAGAAGAAGGTTGCAAGCATGGTTAGAGAAGATAAAGTTGACATTTTAGTAGAACTCACTGGACATACAGCTAACAATAAGTTGGGAATGATGGCATGCCGACCAGCTCCTGTTCAGGTATGCCTTCGGTTTTAGTTTCTTTGTTTTTCTTTGTTTTTTTTTTTTTTTTTCTGGAAAAAGTTTATTTATTTTTTTGTTTAGGAGCTATTCTCTTAATGTTATCTTGTGAATATCCATTCATAGTAAATCTTGTTTAAGAAGTTGTGTACGCTCAAACTTCATAGTTAATAATGAGTATATCTTTCCCGTATAGGTTGTTTTGGATTTGTTAATGTCTGTAATTATTGTGCTTTCAGCTTTTGTCTATTGATCATATTTTTGTGTAAATATATGGCCACTTCTATGGAAAACACATTGACTCGTTGAGTCCATATTCACTGTCCATGTATTAGCACTTTGCAGAGCTTGAAACGGCCAATGATTTATACACTTCATACCTCTTTGTTGCAGATATTCTTCAATGATATATATATATATATAGCTTAGTTTCCTGAACCTTCCATGATGGGAACATTCATTTTCCTGATATCTGATGATAAGTGAAGTGCTTTTTTTTTTTTTTGAGAAACTTGTTAGATTTGTGCTTATAGGTAGCATGTGCATAGATAATTTCTTGACGTCAGATATTGGACCTCTTAAATTTATGCCTCTGTGAGAATCACATTGTGCTGATTAGCTTTGGTTCTTAAACAATTTGAATGAACATCTTCTAGGATCAAGATTTTTGTTATTGCTGCCTGCATTAGAAAGAGCCCAACTTTGTTGGAGACTGCTGACTTGCATACTTTATTTGGGCTACAAAGTTGGTCTGGACTGGACACTTTTTGTTGGCTACGTGTTTGGAGTGTACTTGGGAATTGTCCAGTCCCATCTCAAAAAATTCCCCAATCCTTATTTATTTTCACTAAGCCCAAAAATGCCTACATCTCAAAAAAAAAAATAAAAAAAAATAAAAAAAAATTCCAGTTTTATGTATGGAAAAAGATTAAGCTTTTTTCCCTCAATTTACCCTTATTTATTTTACTAAACTCAAAAATGGCCATCCCTCATCACTCTCATCTTCCACTGACCTGTCCTATCACTGTGCTTGTTGCTGGAAAGATCCCTGGCCATCAAGGTTCATTTTTCTGCGAACAAAATGATCCTCATAACAACCTAAGTATCAATAAAACCTCAAAAATCAATTCAATTCATTGTTTAAATACCGAAGATTTGGTTTTTTTTGGGGGGGTTGATCTGGTTCTCTGAGGATCATAACCTCCCTTTGGATTCCTTTATCACCATTTTTACCTCAGAAACTTGCACAAATACAACCACAAGAACCCCAGCATCATTCAAGCTTCAAAACCAATTCAAACCATATTTAAACAACAAAAAAAATCCAATTAACCTTTGAGATGAACTTGTTTTGGCCCAAACTTCCACTTTGCAGCCGGAAGATTGGTGATGGTGATGGTCATTGTGACTTGAGGTTGCATTCAAATCTCTGTCAGTGATGGCATAGAAAGTACTTTGTGGTTTTCCAGTATTTCTCATGTTGTATGTTTTCAGCTTTGCTGGTGATGTACTGTTTTGCTGGGTGGTTTCTTACTACCTGTTTGTTATTTTTTTTCTTTTCTTCGTTAAGGGTCTTGATAGTCCTTTTGACCAATTAAGCAAATAATTATTACTTGCGACATAAATATAAATAATTGTTGAAATTTTAAAAATGTACACGCTACTAGTTTATGATATGATTTCAATATTTGCTTGGTTAATTCAATTGCACATGAATTGAAATGAAATTAGTTTGCTTCTCTTCCATGGAAGCACAACAAATTAGAAGCAAAATAGAAGAAGGGTGTCATTGTCACTATCGCATAGTGTCCTGTCCAGTCCAGTATCTTCCATGCATAAAAGAGGGCAATTGTCCAGTCCAATCCTGTGTGCACTGACTGAATGATGGACTCAGCCACTTGTTGAGTCCTCTCCTGTCCTGTGTATCCAACACAGCCTTGGGGAACAAGCTCTCTCATCAATCTCAACCAGTGGTGAATTGAAGAGTGAAATGAAATCCAGATAATGCAGATCCTAATATTTCCCCCGTGCTTCTTTCCCAATCTTGGTCATACAATCTGTTAAGTCAAGATCCTTCTTTGTATTGGTTCATGGTTAGCATGTCTTTGGGATATGATGGAGGGTCAGAGGATTCTATAAACCGCGAATAACTGGCTAGAAAAAATATTACTGGATAATAAAAATGTTATAAAAATCCCCGAAAAAGGACAAACTCAAGAAGCATTAAAAAATGTACATTAATGCAATGCAGACAATATTAGCACATGCTAATTTTTTTTTCCTGTCTCTGTATGACTCAGATCCTATTCCCATTTGATTAACTTGGATTTTTTTATTTTTATTTTTATTTTGAATGTACTAGTATTTTGTCTCTGACCTTATTTTTTGGCTTAACTTTATTTTAGGTGACTTGGATTGGCTACCCGAATACAACTGGCTTGCCTACCATTGATTACAGAATTACGGATTCATTCACTGACCCCCCTGATACCAAACAAAAGTAGGCCAACATGTTACTTTCTTGAAGTCATTGCTCTTAAATATAGATCAGTATGAAGATTTACTTTTTGTTATCTGTGCTTGATATGCTTATTCATTGACAGGCATGTTGAGGAGTTGGTTCGCCTACCAGAATGCTTCCTTTGTTATATACCTTCTCCAGAGGCCGGGCCTGTTTCTCCTACTCCTGCGCTTTCTAATGGCTTTATCACATTTGGTAGTTTTAATAATCTGGCAAAGGTATTGGTTAGTTTTGTAATTAGACAGGTCAACCATCTACGCTGGAAAAGTTTTCTGATTGCTTCTATGTTTTGTGTCTCTTTTTGGGGCCTTTCTATTATTTCTCCCCTCAGATAACACCTAAGGTATTGCAAGTTTGGGCTAGGATACTCTGTGCGGTTCCAAACTCCCGCCTTGTGGTGAAATGCAAGCCATTTTGTTGTGATAGTGTTAGACAGAGATTCCTTACAATGTTGGAGCAGCTGGGGTTGGAACCACTGAGAGTTGATCTTCTGCCTCTAATTCTTCTTAACCATGATCACATGCAAGCATATTCTCTAATGGACATTAGGTAAGATCTTCAAGTCTTAATATATACTTGTAACCACCTTTTGTTTCTTTCTGGAAGCCGTTCAAAGAAGCAACATATGCTCTATATATTTTCAGTTGATACCTACCTTCTATCACCCTTTTTTCTGGGATTTATTAACATTATTTAGATATACATACTTTTCCAGTGTGCTTCTGGCTTGTCATGTGAATCTTTAGGGTTCTGGCTTACTTTATGTACTTGATGTAGCTTGGATACTTTTCCATATGCTGGTACAACAACAACATGTGAATCTTTGTACATGGGAGTTCCATGCATTACTATGGCTGGTACTGTACATGCTCACAATGTTGGCGTGAGTCTTCTCAGCAAAGTCGGTGAGGACCTTTCATTTCTTCTTTTTGTTTCATGTGTATATCAAATTACTATTGGTTTTTATGCCTTGTTGCTTTTGATGCTAGCAAAGTGCCTGTTGAGTTGAGTTTGAGTTTACAAATAGCAGGTTTCAAGTAAGAAAGGCTGGCTTATGGGTCTTGGTAACCTTTTCAAAACCATGATTTTGTAAACTCAATAAACCTGAAACCATGGTTTTGAATGCTTTGTCAAAAATAGTTTTGAAAACTCAATCCCTAACGGAGCCAAAAACAAGATGTAAAAAAAAACACAGGTTGTTTCATATGATGCTGTTAAAGCATAAAGGACAAAACTCCCACCTTTACAGTGTCTGGATGAAACATAGCTTTTGGATTTATATGAAATTTCCTTCATATTATTCCAAATGATTTACTCTGTTGGAATGAGAATTCAATGTCACATAGCATTGTGGTGATTCTGATAGTGTCAAACTATGTATTCGCACTTCTTCCATGCAATGTTTTCTTTAAGTTTCCAATGTTCACCTTCAAATTTAGTATATACTGTTTTCTGATATTGAACTGTCATGATTGGGATTGAACCAGTGGATGGAATTTTTTATTAGCTTTTAGAATCTGAAGCATTGATTATCCAAAAGGAATTGATAATGTTTTTGTGCATATTTGTGCTTTATGAATTTTTTTCTTTTAGCCTTGTTAGCTTGGATTGAGGGTGTTCAGCTTCTTCATAAATTATTATGGACCTTGTGGCTGATTTAATGCAGGGTTAGGACATCTGGTTGCCAAAAATGAAGAGGAATATGTTCAATTGGCACTAAGACTGGCCTCAGACATTTCAGCTCTCTCAAACTTGAGGATGAGTCTCCGGGACCTTATGTCTAAATCTTCAGTCTGTGATGGACCAAATTTTACTCTTGGTTTAGAGACAACATACCGGAACATGTGGCACAGATACTGTAAGGGTGATGTGCCATCTTTAAGGCGTATAGAACTGCTACAACAGCAGGGATTTCCTGAGGATGTACCTATAAAAAATGCTGATTCAACGAGGATTGCATTTTCAAGAGATGACCCTCCTGAGTCCATCAAAGCCAATGGATTTAGTGCCGTCTCATCACCCCTAGTCGATCATTCTTATGGAGAAAATGGGAGTCTGATCAATAATACCATAAACTCAGGCAAGCTGAGCTGAAAATGAATTGACATTCTGGTGAGACAGATGTCGAGACTTCTTGGAGTGTGGTGCGGCATGATAGATAAAAACTCCAGCATGTATAATATCTGTATAAGTGTTATCTGCTGGGATTTGAAGCTAGTATTGACTGCAGTTGCGATCCCACGTTACTTTGCTTAGGATCAATTTTTTTGGAGAAAGAACTGGCAATAGTAGGCTGTTCTTTCTCTTTGGGCCAGAAAGAAGTATAGTCAATTGGGGAGAGGTGATTATTAGGTATCTGCATCACATTTTTTTCTTATTGAATCATAGAAATTAGTGGTGGCTTGTAAATTGTAAGTCTATTGTTTTCCTTTATTATTATTATTATTATTTTTTATGATTTTAAAATGGTCTGCGCAGATCACCATAGAAGAGGGAGTTATGGTTTATTTGTAGCCGTTGTGTATGATTGTCAGTCTGATCTCGAACAGTGAACATGATGAAATAGAGCAAAATATTAATCCTGTGATTTTACTGATCAAAATGCTCGTCAAGATTGGATGTTTTTTGACAGCTAGTTGTCTGAACCATTAATTTGTGAGTTCTTTTATTGTTTTATAATCTTCTTTTTGTTATTATTTTTTCTGTTGGAAATATTGCATCATTTGCTGTTTCATTTCTTGTCTACTTTTCTTGGATGCCGTGGAGCAGTTTTTTTTTCCTGCTTCCTTAAATGTTTTGGCAGCAGCTGTTTTCATTTTATCTCTCTTCTTTGCCTTTTAACTGTTGAAAGCAATATCCTTTTATCCTTCTTCCTCAAAAGCAGATTCTCCCTTCAACTTTTTTCTCTAGGTTTCAATTAAATTTGACATATGATTGAAATTCTCAGAACACAAATCCAAGTGTCAATGGAAGTGCAAAGATAAAGGCATTATTTCATACAAATAATGGATACAACTAACAGCATAAAAGTCGTTATACACGTGAAATGTTGTCTTTTTATCTTTTATCTTATAATGTCGTAAAATGATATATATTTTTTTCTACTTGATTTAAAGTTGTGTATTTGTTAATAGCCATATTTTTTTTCTTTCAATCTATGTATTTTTTTTTTTTTTTTATGTGGACAATATGAGAATATAATCATGGATAACTTTAAACGCATGAAACATATCTAGCTATCCATACAATAAAGACCCCACCTAATCTCGAACATCAATTTTCACTCGTTCTCCTGCAAATATCCCGTTAAATTGTTTCTCAAAAGCCTTGCTATTTCTGAAAAACATATTTTACATTAACTAGTTAAAATAAAAATAGTTAATATATAAAATTTAAAAAATAGCCACCTATCATAAGACTTAAGATCTAATTTCAACTATCTAACTCTATATGGTATTAGAGTCCTAAGGATGTCTAATGACTCAACAAAAATCCTAAAACCTAAGCCTACTTGACAAATATTAAAAGATGGACTGTAAGTGAGAAGAATGTAAAAAATATATCTTACATTGAATAGTTCAATCAAATATAATTAATGTATAAAATTGAAAAGGAGTCATCTATTATAAGATTTAAGTTTTTTAGAATGGAACCTAATCTCAATTGTTTATATGATATCGAGGCTCAAAGAAGCCTAACAATCTAACAAAGATCTTAGAGTTGAAACTACTTGACATATAAAATTGAAAAAGGGCCGTCCATTATAAAGTTTAAGTCTTTTGCATGGAACTCATACTCAACTATCTACCTCTATGGCTCTCTACCATATAACTCTCTTGTAGATACTATCCATCCCTTTATTTCAAAGTTCTAAAGACAGCTAATCATATCATCATCTAATATACATGTACACTATGAAGAAGTCTTTTCTAAAGTTTGTAAAAGGTTAGAGTTTGAGTACTAGGTTGCATTTTAAAGTATTTTTCTTTTAAATTTTTGATGTTTTTAAGTGGTTTATTTATTTATTTTTTATATGTATGAGAGAGGCGAAACTCTAAACAATAACTTGTGTGTTACATATTCATGGAGAGACTACACCACAAAAGTCCTCTAAAAGGAGGCTAATATACCTTAGTATGACATGCTCAAAATACAAAATTTCAATCTGAACAGAGTAAATATGTGAAGTAAGTAAGTCAGTCAGCTATACGATTGACTTCTTTATAAGTGTGATCGATGCGAACCTATTAAGGCTTCTAGAGAAGTTTGTGAATAGAGAAAACCAACTAACTATAATTCCTACGATGACTTTAGAATCCTAATTAAATGGATTGCTACCATGCAGTCAGTTTCTAAGAGAATGCACCAATATCCCAAATTCCATGCCATCACCAAACCAACCAACATGCGCCAAAGCTCTATACATACAATAAAATAGATCCCTATCTTGTATGAAAAGTCATGCAGCTAAATGCCTATTTCATCTTGAAGGATACTACTAGTCGTAGAAATACCAACTGAATCTTGTAAAGCTCCATCAGTGTTAAGTTTGACCTAAACTGAAAGTGGTCTAAACCAACCAATCAAAGTCTTAAATTTCAAAGGTTTTGGCTTTTTTAAGAGGGCAGTCATATCCATGCTAGTCATAATGTCACTAATAAAAGAATGAATAGCATCAGTTGGCCTATGAGGCACAACAAAATTATCATAAAAAATGCATTTACTTTTCCATGTCCATAAAAACCAGCAGTATACCATAAACCAAGTACTCCAAGAAAAGGATTTTGAAGATGAAGATTAAGTTTTTGCTAAATTATTCCATGCCCATTCTTTAAGATCCAACGTAAAGAAGAGTGTGATCATATTACCTACAATTTCATTCCAAATCATAACTGTAATAGGACAGTCTTATAGAACATGGATGATAGTTTCTAGACAATGCAGACAATGAGAACAAAACAACTTAGAAGCAAGGCCCTTCTGCATTCTTTGCATGTTGGTGAGAAGTTGGCTATGGACTGTTAGCCATAAAAAAGTGCAAATACATTAACATCTTCTCCACTACCAAATCAGGTTCCATATATATATCGAGATGTTTGAAGCCATTATTAGTAAAGGCCGAACATGGCATAACTACTTCCTGACTTACTACTGGAGGAAGTACCCTTATAATTTTCAAGCAGATCAAAGTGGGAAGAAAGTTGCTAAACTTATCCCACCACCACTGTCTAACACCCGTGACATAATCCTTAAGTCTGTCATGCATCACGCAAGTTGGAATAGACACAGTTGTATGATCTTTTAATGGCCCTAGATCAGGAACCTAAACATCAGTCCAGAAACCAATACTACTGCTGCTTACAAGAGACCAACTAAAATAGCTACATATATCCTCCCATACTCTAGAAAGGTCCTTTCATAGGTTTGAGTAGCCAACCCAAAAGATAAAGAGAGGCATTAGTTCTAGATTGACTTTGTATTTGCTACACATTATCTTCACCCAGAAGGAGGAATTGTTTGAAATAATTTCTCATCTAATTTTCTTGAGTAAAGCATTGTTTACTACAGAGAGCTTTTGCAAAGCAAAGGCACTTTGTTTATTTTACGGACAGACACTTTCGAAGAGGACTAGATGGATCTTACAGTGACTTTCTGAGCTGTCCTAAACAAAGTCCCTGCAGAGCTTTTCGATAGCATTGGTAGTTGTTGTGGACAACCTAATAATTTACATGCTATAAATTAGAATGTCTGCCAAAATAGACTGAGTTAGGGTAATCTTACCTACAAGTGATAGTTGTTTAGCCTTCCATCCTGATAATCTCTTACAAACTCTATCAACCATGTGTTCATATGTAGCCTCATTGATATGATTATGATGCAAAAAAAATCTTAAATACCACCCTAGATCATCCATTAAGCTAAAGCTGGATTGTTTATCGAGAAGTCTAGCCTTGCATTTAGGGACATTGTGACTGCAGAATCATCCAGTCTTGAAATATTTTACTTTCTTAACTGAAACTGAGCAAAATTTATCAATTGCTTCTAAGATAACATTCAACTGCTTATTTTTAATCTCTGCATAAAAAATCAGATCATCAATAAAAAATAAAACGTAATGTGTGGGCCATCTTTACTTAGGTAGACCAACATCCTTTTTTTTCCATGCACTGCACCTTAGATGAGATGACTCAGCCGTTCCATACAAAGTACAAAAAGTAGGGAGATAAAGTATCACCTTGTCTGATACCTTTAGATGGTCTGAACCCCTATCTAGTCAGTCCATTGAATGCAACTTCTAGTCAAACTAAGGATAGATATTTCATTATGATCGAACACAAAGGATGAGGTAACCCATCATCAAGCAATGTGTCCAGGATAAAATCCCATCGAAGCTTGTCATAGGTTTTTTCAAGGTCAATCTTTATTGCCATCCACCCTTTCTTTTCCTTTTGTCTTGTCCATGGAGTACATAATTTCTTATGCTATAATAATGTTGTTTGTTATTTTTCATCCTAATACGAAGCTTACTTGAGTGGATGCAATGACTGAATGAAGAATAGGCTTTAGTTTGTTGACAATAACTTTCATGAGAACTTTGTATAAGAAATTACATATGCCAATGGGAAGAAACTGGTTAAGCATCTCTGGGACATCTATTTTAAAAATCAGAACCAAAAGAGCTTTCGTTAGAGAAGGCTTCCAAATTTCATGCTTAAAGATTTGTTGGATGAACATGCATAGGGACTTTTCCACAGTGTGCCACTACATCTTATAAAAGGCTGCATGAATCTCATCCACACCTAAATCCTTATATTTTTGGATACCAAAAAAAGCTTTCTTAATTTCAGAATTTGAGACAGGCTCATGCAGAGCAGAAGTTACAAAAGATTAGATGAAATGCATGGGAAAAATCCATGAGTCAAGGGTTTCTTGACATCAACATATTCCTCTGTAAAAAGGCCCTAATAATACTTAAAGATAAGGGAACATATTTGATTGTTTTCACTGTACCAAATGCCATTCTCATCCTACAAACGACCTTCCTTTATCGACTTCTTCTTTACCATTGTCATAGCATGATAATACTTAATATT